TAAAATATTATCTTGTAGCCTCAAAATACTCAGTTGTTAACCTTTGATTTGTAAAGAATATAATGAATGCCTTAAAATGGAATTCTCTCTTATTCTTAACCCAAGTTTTATAAAACACAGTCCTTCCTTAAAGGCAAAATAACCAAAGAAGTAAATAGAGAGGAAAAGGTCAACTCCTACTTATTTTTCAGTAGCTTTGGTGACTTCCTAGGCAAACCCTGGTGTTTCTCCCCTGGTACTGAGTGCCATACTTTGATTTTAAGTCTCTATGGTTGAGGAATAGGAGAGATCTAAAACTTCCTCCTTTACTGCATATACTACCAAGTTTCATGTAGGATGAACACTGGATTAGCCAAAATTAGCTTTGAATCCTAGAGCTTCTTCATACTAGCTGAGTGACCTTAAACAAGTGATTTAACCTATCTAGGCCTCTTTTGCTTCATCTGTAAAATAAGGAAGCCAATAATATAGGTAATCTTTAAGTCTCCCTCAATTTCTAGCAATCTATAATTCTCAAACTGTGCACACCTTTTAATCCAGCAATCTCACTACTAGGTCTGTATCCCAAAGAGATCTTAAAAAAGGGAAAAGGAAAAGGACTTACATGTGGAAAATTTACAGCAGCTCTTTTTGTAGTGGCAAAGAATTAGAAATTAAGGGGATGCCCATCAATTAGGGAATGGCTGAACAAGTTGTGGTACATGATTGTAATGAAATGTTACTGTGCTATAAGAAATGACAAGCAGGAAGATTTCACAAAAACCTGGAAAGATTTGCATGAACTGATGCAAAATGAAGTGAGCAGAACCAGAACATTGTATATAGTAAACAGCAATCTTGTGCAATGATCAACTATGAATAATTTGGCTCTTCTCAGCAACACAACGATCCAAGACAATTCCAAAGGACTCGTGATGGAAATTGCTATGGAGTCTGAATGCAGATCAAAACATACCATTATCAGTTTATCTTTTTCATGTTTTTTTTCCTTTTGGTCAATTTCTTCTTTCACAACATGACTAATATGGAAATATGTTTTGAATGATTGCACATATATATTCTATTTAAAATTCTTACCTTTTTAGAAAGGGGAGAGAGGAGAAAATTTGGAACTCAAAATTTTTAAAAAGTAAATGTTAAAAATTGGCTTTACAAGTAATTGGAAAAAATAAAATACCATTTTAAAAAAATCTATAATTCAAGGCAAAGTCTAAATGAGAACAACAGCCACCTTAGGCAAAGGGTAAATCTACTCAAGTACAGCTTAACTTCATTCTAATTCATGATGCTGTTTATCTGAAGCATGGTAGCATTGGGCAGCCTATAGAAGAGAGAACCTAGGCTTTTTCCCTTTGAGTTAGGTCTTCAATGCCATTTTGTTTTGTTGCAAATATAATGTATTCATAAAGAATTCATAAAGAAACATATTCACTATTCAAATTCAAAAGCAAATGGAGGAAGGATTTTTGGATCATCTGTGCATCGCCTCAACCCTCCCAGATAGTTGACTATTCCCTGACACACACCACCAACTCAACTCGATTATAATCATAATTAAGGGCATTAGCTATGTCTGAAATGTATTAATTCAAACAAAAACATTCTCCTATAGATTTGGAGTATCTCGTTGATTGCAACAAGTCAGCATGTGAAAAAGCTCTTGAACACAGTTTAAATATATATTTGCAACAGATTTACAACGAGCAGCTTCAATGTACTAGGTGCCACACAGAAAAGCATAGTTTTTGCATACCCTTCCCCCCAACTAAGGGTGAAGTGTGCTAAATATAAAAGGCAGCCAAACATTTATCTTTGAGAAACCCAGAGCTGCTTAGGGTTGGATCTGGGCAGATTTATGGAGATGCGATTTTTGTGGTGGAATTTAAATAAGGAGCATGAATCATAGAATAGATACGAAATGGAAGTTTAATCTAGGTACTAAAGAAGAAGAAATGTAATATGGACAGATGGCAAAAAGGAGACCCTTTAGAGTTCTGAGAAGTGACTAAATTAAAATGGTGGATGAGAAATATTTTCACAAAATCTCTTTGCTGACAAGGGCAAAGATGGAGTGAGCAAAGCACAGGAACACAGACAAGTAAGAGGCAGATGAAATATCGGGCTACATAAGCAAAGAAAACCCTCAAGAGCTTTGAAAGAGAAGTAGAGTGAGGAGTTAGGTAACTCATTCTGTATCAAGGGAAAGACTTTGGTGGAGAAGGGAATCAAAAGGGAGTATTTCTAGGTATGAGACGAAGTTACCCAAATGCCTTTGTGACTGTTTTCTCATCTTTAAAATGGGGATAACACTTGCACCATCTATCACATTTTTCAGTGCTCTAAAGAAAGCACACAGGAAACCATAAATTGCTATGTAAATGTAAGCTATTACTGGGAAAAGATAAGCTGAGGTATCATCAGGCTTAATTTGAACTGTAAGGCATACCCAGAGTAAGAAAATGAAGACAACTAAAAATAGAAAGAAATCAGAGAAGATTTCCAAAGACTTACAAAAAGTTGTCAGATATTTAAGAAAAGAAATGCTAAAAGTTGTATACAATGTCTTTTCAAGTTAATGTACCTTCCACATTCAGGGTAATAATCAGTAATGTCTGGTGCCACCAAAATGCACATTAAATGTCTACATTACCTTTTCCTCTATCAGATTTAACATCCTGATACTTTAAAAAAAATTCATTTACAAAAGAACACTATTCAGTTAGATGTGTTTAGTTGAGAAAAAGGTTAAATCGGCCTGAGCATTACTGTTACAATGAAGAACATGCTAATCAGTCTGTTATAAGCATAATGTTCCAGCAGGTTGTGTTTTCTACAAGTAGAGCGGAGGTCATGCTGCAGACCACGTGGTCATTCAGAGGAATCCCTGACTGCAGGGACCATTCGTAACCTCGCATTTGTAGAACTCTTAATTTTTTTCCTACTGATCCCCACTGTTCCTGAATATCCCTGATGGTAGTACTGAATGTCCACTATCATGTGCAGGACCGGCTGAGCTGCTGAATGAGAAAAAGGAGTGGCCGACAGAAGGAGTGGGGAAGCAACTCATCAGAACCACGCTGTTCTTCCTCCTTTTCTTTACTCTAAGATGGGATACGACTAGAAAATTATAACCATAAACATCACAAAATGTGCCATTTAAAAAACATAATGGGCAATCAAGAGCAGGGAAGTATGAATGATAAGATGTAAATTAACACCATTATAAAGTTTAGTGAGATTTAAAGATATTGAAATCCCTGGCACCAACCCTGCAATATTTGAAAGTGCAAAATATAACTACATTTTTAAACTCATAAATATTTCTTTTATTTTTTTTCAATAGCAATTTTTTTAAAAGTAGTAACATTCTCTCCACTGAAGTTAACAGTAAAAATTGCAGATCCTGGATGTAACTTGAAGTACTCTTTGCCTTTACTAATGTATGTAATGGACAGACCAAATTTCCACACAATTTACTGAAAACAGCCATGACATTTTGGTTCTAAGAGGTATCATCTGTTAGTTTTTTTCTACACAGTCAGGATTTGCAAATCCACTGAACGATGAACCCCCATCATTATTTTGCCCACTTAGTTATTATCATAGTGTTGGAAGGGACCTCTGAAGTCACTTACCTGAAACAGAAATCTCCTTTACGTTTCCAAGTTAACTACTGAGCCTTGGCTTAAGATTTCTAATGAAAGGAATTTGCCACCTCCCAAGATCCCATTCCTCTTTTGGATGCCTCTGTCAAGAAGTTATTCCTTACAATGAGTCAAAATTGGCCTAAATTGGTATTGCTGTTGTCTTGTACGGAGCCATTAGCTACTTTAGTAAAAATATTTAATTTCTTGCTTTTAAATCTAAAGGTAAAATTATTTTCTTTTGTCAGCAGAATCCCAATCCAAGTTTCTACCAGTTGATATCTTAAACAGATAAGGACGCCAGGGAACGTTCCATAGTACATAGACATTTATCTCTGGAATCAGAAATAGTTCTTTAAAATGCTATTAGCAAATTATAAAATATAGCAATCATATTTAGAATTTTCATCACTTGCAAGTGTCTTGAATGTCACTTAGTCTGCTCCCTCTCCATTCTAAACAGAAAAGCTCTTCTCAGTACTGACCCTATAGAGTCAAGTAAAACGAATTCTGTATTTCATATATTTTGTAGTAAAGAATTCCCTAAACAAGTAATTTATAAGCTCATTTTCTTTATTAAATATTACCACTTTCATCTCATAACTTACTTTATATTTGAAATTTGTGAAGATATGCCTTCTAGACATAAAGATGCATGGACAAAGCTGCTATAAAATCATTCAGTTTTCATTGTGGAACTTTGCCATGCTTTTAAATGGATTTTGTTATTTTCTTTTCAGCTTGCATGAAGAATACAGCTATGTTGGCACAACTTAGATTAGGCTTTTAAAAAAGAATCTCATAACCTGTCTTTATTTATTAAGTGAAAATAGGTCAAGAAAAACGTTAAACTTTCAACATTAGCCAGCATCTGATTTTTCAGGTACAGATGATCCCATCTGTGGATTACTCAGGCTCCTGGGGGCTTCTCCTAGGTCCTGCTCTTTGCTTTTTTGGCCATCTCATGGCAAATGAGCACTTCTACCAGAGAAGAGATGGTGAGCAGGGAATGGTGGTCAAAGTCAAAGCAACTGATTTTTGTTACTTGTTAGCAGCTCTGGAAAGAGGGTTTGTTGAGGGTATTAAAATACCAGAACAAATTGAGTATTCATGGATTTTTTTTACTCATCATCTCTTAATTTCTCTCCAATTATTACCGGAGAGAATGAAAATTGACTGTTTTTGATTGCAATGTGCCCATAAGTAGAAGCCATTATTCCCAAACACTCCACTGAGGCACTCCTTTCCTTCAATCTCATTTCCTGCCTTAATTGTGACAGACTGTGCTTTAAGATTGATCAGAATACACTACTATAGCCCCAAAGTAAAAAAAAAAAAGTTGTTACAAATTCTACATACGAGCAAAATAGGTTTACTGGAATGTCTTTAGTCACAGTTGAAAGTAGCAGTATTGAAAACATTAGTTTCTCCATAAATCTATGGAAACCATTTCCAAAACCTATTTTTTACATGAGAAAAATTATACATTCTGTAATCATTAACTGAATGGTTGCCATCCCTTTTTACATGTTTTACCTCTTATCTCCCACCCTATCCCTGAACTTGATGCAATAAATCCCCACCTCTCTAGTTTGCAGTAGGAAATTGTGTTAAATTATAAATATCATCATCAATGTTTAACTCTATATACAAATAATGTATTGGCAAGTATCTAGTTCCTATAACATGGCAAAGTAGATGTTTCTGTTTTAAAATAAATCAATGACAGCATATTTTGGTGAAGGGGAGGAGTCTAATCAGGAACTTGTCAATGCTCCAATTTGAACTGGACACTTGCCTTTTTACTTCTTGAGAAAAAACACTTGAAAGTTATATACACATTTCATTCAATTATGCAGCAATCTTCTTTTTTTTAATTGTCCCAGAACCGTTTTATTGGAGATCTCTGGTCACCGAATCAAGTCCGATATTTCAGGACAACAGGAACTATGAGAAAGAAAAGAAAAACCAACAGTATATCAGTCAGTTAAGGAGCATTTATTAAGTGCTTACTATGTGCCCAGCAAGTGCAATACAAAAATAAAAGTACAGAAGTTCCTGCTCTCACAGCGCTTACATTCAACTGGGGGAGACAACATATAAAACTGTAGATATCTACAAAATGTAGATATATACAGACATCCACAAAAAACATATACAACAAAAGGCACTGGGGGTGAAGTAGGGAGAAACAGTAGCAGCTAGGGGAAAAAGCAAAGTTTCATACAGAAAACAGCACTTGAGCTTAGTTTTGAAGGAAACTAGGGATTCTAAGAATAGGAGATGAGTAGGAAGGCATCCCAGGCAAGGGGATTAGCTAGTGCAAAGGCCCAGAGATCGGAAGCCAGTTTGGCTATGCCATAAGGTTCATGCAGGGGCTGGAAAGATACATTAGGGCCCAATTAAAAAGCACTTTAAATGGCAAATAGAGGAGTTTATTGTTGATCTTAGAAGTAAGAGGTTGTCACTTGAATTTAACGAGTAGAGGGGTAACATGGTCACAGCTATGCTTTAGGAAAATCCCTTTGGCAGCTGTGAGGATGGAATCGTGTAGGGGAATGCTTGAGGCAGGGAGACCAATCAGAGGGCTGCTTCAATTGTCCAGGCAAGAAGCCTGAACTGGGGAAGTTGCTGTGTAAGTGCAGAGAGGTATTCAAAGATGGTGTTGAAGTAGAAATGACATGATTTGGAAATTGATTAGCTACGAGGGGCAAGTCAGAGTGAATGAAATTTGACATGTAAATGCTACATCTGGCTGTCTACCTTTGGAAAGTGAATTAGAAGTTATGGCAAAGGTTTTTGGGTTGTTGTTTTTAACCTTATTTTATAAATGGAGATATATTTAACTTTCTTGGTCAATCTTCAAAAAGACAAAGTCTAAATAAATAAATAAATAAAGCCATCAAATACGTGTATCAACAACAACAATATTCAGTCCATTCTTGAATCAAAGAACATTATTTTCATCGAAGCTAAGCAGCAGCGTGGAGTTGATGCTTTGGTCTAGAGCACAAGGCCAGAAGTCATGTTTCTAACTAGATAAATGACGTGCTCTTATAGCATGTTATACTACATATATAGCAGTTATACTACATCAACTGGATAAAAATAAAAAGCAAATTAAAGTCAACTCCAATGGATATTCTTCAATATTCTCCCCCAAGAGCTATCAATACTTACTGATAATCACCAGCAAAAGGATAACAGCAACCAGAGCCATGATCGCCTTCATCTGCAACACAGCAAAAAGGATAGAAAAACCATTAATACTTGCTAATAATGAACAGGTAAGCTTTAAAAAAAAATCATAGTGAAATCTTGGCTAACCAGAATGCCCCAGGAATGGGTTGTTTTTACTAATTAAAATTTATTTCAACCCACGTTGTTGAAAACCTGTGTAAAATGTTTTAATTAGCAAGTATACTTTGCTGCCTTAATACAGTACTCTGCACAAGGCTGAATCCTGCAGGGCTGTAGATTCATTATTTTAAATCAAATCCTCCTTGCAGAGGATTGTGAAGATTGAAAATATGACTCAAAGGATGGGGAATCTTTGGCCCTCTGATGAATGAACTTAATCCAGTTCACAGGAAGTACTATGAGAAATGATATCTCCTTTTGTTCTCATGGTTGCAAAAATGCATCATGGTTTTAAGCTTTTAACCATAATATCTTAAAAGGCCCCAAGGATGCAGGGGGCAGGTGGGATAGCATAAAGGTCTATGTCTGTGAATCATTTTGTCTCCTCTCTGTGAGCACTGTTATCTCTCATTCTGAATCTCCACCTTTACCTCCATCTTAGTATTTTACCACTCTCTTCTTTAGGAAAAACTGAAGTGTATAATTTTATTATTTTTTGTCATTATTGATTAAAATGTTTTCTTTTTAAAAAATATTTTATTTTCTCCAATTGTGTGTAAAAACAGTATTATCATTTATTAACAATATTAAAATGTTTAAACTTTTTAAAGAGTAGCAGAAAATTAATTTTAATCTTTTTTCTTTTTTTTAACTCTCAAATTCTAAAACTAAATTAAGATTTTAAAAAATTTACATGACTTTAGATCAATTCTATTTTTACTCATTTCATTTAAAACACTTTGGATAAGTGGTCTTAGGCAGAAAAAAGGTTTCTTATCCGTGCTGGAAGAAATCAAGTGAAAGCCATGCTGACTTTAAAACATTCTGAGGAAACTGATTTTTTAAAAAAATAAATCTTTGATATGAGTGAGCTCTTTCTTCTAAAGGTGGAGTGACAAATATTTGGACTATAGGCATAGCCCCTAGATGGTTTCATGAAAACATGATTTTATAGGGTATGTTTAATGTCAATACAGTATAGGAATAATGTTATAAATAGGAGATGTATTACTGTACTGGTAGTACTAGGGCTGAATGTAATAGAGCAGAATAAGTGAAGAACACTGGAGGAGAAGAAGCACATTCCAGACTTAGTGGATGACCATTACAAAGGCATGGAAACAGCAGATGGAGTGTTGTGTGATAGGAAGATCCAGTTTACCTGGATCTTACCTAGAGGATATAGAGGAGAATTATATACAATGGGGCTGGAAAGGTAGCATAAGACCAGACTGTGAAGAGCTTTAAGTGCCAAAGACAGAGCTTTGTATTTGATCCTAGTAATAGGACAGAACCACTTGATATTGAGTAAGAGCATAACATAGTCAGACCTGCTTTAGGAAGACCATTTCTCCTAAATGATTTTGTATGGCGGATGGATAAGGGTGGGGAGAGACTTGAGGCAAGGAGACCAACCAGAAGACTACTGTAACCATCCAGGTGAGAGATGATGGAGGCCTGAACTAAAGGAGTGGCTGTGTGAGTGGGAAGAAAAGGAAATATTTGAGAAATGTTTCGGAGGTAGAATTAGCAAGATTTAGATGCTGACCAGATATGGGGCTGAGTGGGAATTGAGTTCAGGATGACACTAATGTTGCAAAGCAGGTAGATGGAAGGATGGTGGTACACTCAAGAGAACCAGAAGTGTAGAAGAGAGGTGGGAATGTTCACAGTAAGCCTAGTAAGTCACAGGGTGAGGTGAGACCAAGAGCCTCACCCCCTCTTTACATAAGCATTTCAAAATGTCCTACTGATTGCTAAATACTAAAAATGAATTGATAAACTGATTTTTTGACAACTTTAAATAGAAGTCCTTGGGTAAAAATTTCTATAATATTCAACTTCCTTCTCCATGCAACTTTTGAGAAAGGCTAACTTTTTTTTGTTGAAACCATTCTTGAGACCTGATTGACTCAGGAGAATAAGGTAGCTGACATCACTTCCTGGTTGCTGGAATGAGCTTCAGTCTAGACTGGAGGCTTGGCTAGCCCACTGCACTTGGAAGCAGAGAGGCAGGTGCCCTTCAGTCAGCTGAATCGACCTGTTGTGTCCTTGATGCACACACAGCCTTGTGGAATAGCCTTCTCCTGCTATGGGTTACTATAGCTCCTTTTGCTAACTGCTGAGTGTCTCACATTCCAGTATTTTTAAATAGTCTTTTATCTTTTCTAATTACATGTAAACACAATTTTTAACATTCATTTTTTAAAATAACATTTTGAGTTTCCAAATTTTCTAGCTCCTTCCTTTCCCTCTCTAAGATGGTAAGCAATTTGACATAGGTTATATATCACATTCCAACACTGAGCCTAAACTACCAGAGGGACCTGAGTCAGGCCCAGCCTGGGCCTCTTTATATGCACTTGAAAATGTCCCACTGACTACTTAGTACTGAAAAGTGCATTTATCAACCGATATTTCTTGATGACTCTAAATAGAGGTCTTTCAGCAAAAATGTCTGTAAACAATACAGAGTAGGGAGCAGCTAGGAGGCGCAGTGGAGAGAGCACCAGCCCTGGACTCAGGAGGACTTGAGTTCAAATCTGGCCTCAGACCAAACACTTGACACTTACTAGCTGTGTGACCCTGGGCAAGTCACTGAACCCCAACTGCCTAAAAACAAACAAATAAACAAACAAACAAAAAATACAGAGTAGTTCACACTGAACAGAATATACATGGCTACAATCAGACAAAACATTATTTTCGGTGCCACAAACTGTAATTACTCAGGACCTGACTGAATATCACTTAAAGACAAATCTGTAACATTTTAGTGGCAATACGTTCAACATTCTGTTGTATAAATACCCAAAACTAAAATGAACTAGAGGATGTCCTACAGATCTTTGATTTGGATGAATTATTATAACCAAGAAAAAAAAATGCAGAAAGCCAAGCCAGATGAAAACAACTGCCATATGGGGGAAGGGGGGTTTACACGTACTACCTTCAGTACTTGAATACTTTTCTGTCTGAACACTAAGTTGGTATGGAACAAAATTCTAAGAGTTTTATAACCTTACCCAAAAGACATGTCATAAAGTCCTGTCAAATTGTGCTAGGTTCAAAATTCATAAGATAGGAAAAGAAATTCTTACACAACTTTTAAAACACTTCAATGAATAGCGTTTTCTTCTTGGAATATACACCTCTGCCAAGGACTGCCTAAATGCTACAATAGTAGTACGGTATCTGTTGTGAGAAAGAAAGGGAAAGGGACCAATTTAAACTAAGAGTCAAAGTTCAGGGAAATGAAAAAAAAAAAGAAATTTAACTCTCCTAATTGTAATCACTTTCACTTATTTTGTAAAATTATTTCAGATTTATTTTTAAAAAATCTCTCTAGGTCCTTCCTATAATACAGTCCGGTGGAATTCAATACAGACTAACCTTGAACTCTGGGCAAAGGGTGTTTAATCACTAGTCCTCGATGGATAGACCTTGTAATAAAGTTTCAGTTAAGACAATCGGATATAAAGCTGGAAGATTAGAGATAAAAGAAAAAAGTTCCATTTTCCAGAAGAGAAAATGAAGACGGATACAAAGAGTTATGTGTAATCTTCAATGAAATCTTGCTCACTTGAAAAAGTCACCTCATTATAGATATAGAAGCAGTGGTGTAGCACAACATAAAGAGTTCTTGCAGTCAGAAAGAGATCAGGCTTATTGGCTCGCTCACTTCCTTTGTAACTTCCTTTCACTGAATCTCAGTGACATTAATATCTATAAAGCCTACTTTACAGAGTTGCGAGGCTTGAATAGGAGCATACATGAGACGTAACAAAGTGCTATATGAACATCACTGTAAAAAAACAAGTATTTTCATAAGGTCACAAAGTTCATAAGTGGCAGGTCCTGGATTTAAGCCTAAATCTTCTGGTTCTAAACCTCTTGATGTTCCTATGATATTATGCTGTCTTTTCTTTACACACATGCCTTGATGATTATATCAAGTGAGCCGTATTTCAGAGAATTAACTACATATAAAGATAAGCTTGCCAAATGTTTGTTTACAAGTTGCATGGTAAAAATAATGAAAAGGTCTAGTAGAATCATTCTATTGATTTTCTATGCTTTTTTGTTTTTTCATCCTGTATTTTAGGTCTTCATCTGGGTATGTGGAGGGTAGAAGAAACACAAATTTAACTCTCCTTTTCTATTGATAATCTTCAAACTGTTAACCTAACAAAAAAAAAAGTATACCTCAATAAATCTTCAAAATCAGAGTATGGTTTCCGAAGCCTCCTGTCTTCCTAAGAAGGCAGAACTTGTATATACTTAAATCTGGATTAGCTAAAATGCAGACTAACCACAGAAGCCAGAGCTCCTTGGGTCTGTAGGTCACATGTTGCCTTAGGTCGTAGGATTCTTTCCTCAGATGGATTATCCTCCCTACACCACCACTACAGTGGTTAGTCAAAAATGCAAGGACGGAGAGGCAGCTCTGGCTGAACATTGGCAAAGCAAAATGCCAGCCAGGGAAGCAATGGGCAGAGAAAGCAGAAAAATACTGCTAATCCCAAAAATGAGATTTGTGTCTGTAACACGTACTAACTACAAAGGGAATGAATCTCTAAAGTTCTCAAGAAAGCCAAGAATAACAAACAAGTCAAGGGGAGAAGTGAGGGATTTGCTATTGTGAAATTTCAAATTCATCATTTGAGCATAAAAGAAATATTTTTCCTCTAATGCTTGGTAGTCACACTAAATTAAAGAGGTATGAATGGTTCACATCAAAATTTCTGCAGGAATGTCTCTGTAAATATAGTTTTCCCTGTTAAAAATTTTTGTGAGACTAGTAGAATTGGCTGGAATGATGCTGGATACTTAGATTTTTGTTAAAAATGAATTTACCAAATAATTGATTTCAACATTGCCTACTATTTTTCTTCTCTTTTCTGTTTGTTCATTTAAAATAACGATATCATTTCTTCCCATACTTTAGTGGAATGTTGCATTTTTAGGTGGGGAACTACAGATGTACAATACTGCATATACTGCAAAAAAGATCAATGTGATGACTGATTTTGCTGAACTGGTTTTTTTTTCCTTTTTGATCACTGTTGTGAGAGTAGGAATGGATATATTCAGAAAGGAATGTGATACAAAAAGAAAAGGCATCAATTAAAAAATAGGGGGAAAGGATGAATGGACAAAGAATCCTGAAGAGGACTCACAGGGAGTGACTGAAAATTGTCATGCTATTTTATGTGCTGAAATTAATTTAAATATAACTAAACAAGTTCAGCTCACTGTGGGGCAGCTAGGTGGTGTAGTGGATAGATGCCAGGCCTGGAGTCAGGAAGACTGATCTGGGCAAGTCACTTAGCCTTGTTTGCCTCAGTTTCCTTATCTGTAAAATAAGCTAGAGAAGGAAATGGCAAACCACTCCAGTATCTTTGCCAAGAAAACCCCAAAAGAGGTCATGAAGAGTCAGCCATAACTGAAAAATGAACAAACAACTCAGTTCAATGTATTGACGTTCAATATTAAGGTTTTGGGGTTTTTTTGGTGAGGCAATCGGGGTTAAGTGACTTGCCCAGAGTCGCACAGCTAATGAGTGTTACATGTCGGAGGCCACATTTGAACTCAGATCCTCCTGACTGCAGGGCTGGTGCTCTATCCACTGTGCCACCTAGCTGCCCCCAATATTAAGTTTTCAATAAAACACTCCACTGTAAAAAGGAAGACCCATTCTTAAGACTGCCAATGGTCTACAGAGGGAAAGCACAACATAAACCACAAGGGCTACAGCTTTTCTAATATGATAAATCTATCTAGAGGGAATAAGCTATTGAAAAGATACTGTGAATTATGTCTTATAAAAGAACGATGCAGCTCAGCTTCTGGAAGTGTTTTTGAAATCTCTCTGCTTACCACTGCCTCAATAGGATTTATCACACCTTTCTTTACAACTTTACTTCACTATTCGATAATAACCCACCACCATCCCATATACTCACTTTGCATCCACGCCACCACATTTGTCTTCGAAGCTGTTTAGATCTGTTGCTAAAGGCTGTTGCATTATCTGATAAGCTTTCTAAATCACAGAGGAGATAGAGAATGATTAAAAGACACAGCAGATATCCTTATCAGGTCACACAAGGACAAGAAAATATCAATTTCTAGTTCTGCAAACTTACTCTTCTAATCATAAATGCAATACCATCCCCAAAGAAATGTTACAATATCTATTTCAAATGATAATGGTTTGATTATGTTGAACTAGGGCATAATTTTACAAATAGCAGGGGATTAATAAGTGATTGTCGAATAAATGATTATAAATCATTCCCCACAGGCACTAACTTCTGTGAGGAAATATTATTTAAAAGTTAAGTGGCTTAAGTGTTTAAGTGATTAGGGGTTTAGATAAGAAAATGATTTAATATACAAGCTAGAGAATGCCAGGAACTGAACTGAGCCAAACCAGTGAATTTTAAAAAAACAAACAAGTTTCTTGTTCAAACAAATCTACAAAGGACAGACTATAAATAACACAGGAGGGTCATCTGTGGGTAAATGAAGGTAACCAAACCAAGACTAGCAAAACAAAGAGCGTGAATAGTAGAAAAGCTTGACAAACTGTCTTGCTAAGAAGTAACTAGTGAGCAGAAGTAAGCAGAGGCCTCTGACTCCTTAGAAAGCCTATTAGAATTCTAGAAGAAAACAAATTCTTACTCAAAAGATAACTTTTCCCCTCAGTTTTAATCTCTATTTTTTAGGAAGTGATCAAGTAAATACTTGACAGCTGATTTATATGGAATAATGAAAAATTATTAGTAAAAATGTTTTACTTAAATGTACCAACTTTTTACTTATAAAAATGTTGGCAACATTTAATCATATAACCAATTCTTCATGTTGAGTTATTAATGCTAATATTGTTTATTAAATCTAAAACACCAAAGTAAGAATATAAGCAGTATTAGCTATAAAAAGAAAGTATTTGCACCTGATTTGTCTTGTAGCTCATCCAGTCTCTCTCCTCTTTCAATCACTTTTGTAATATTCTCTTGCATGACATCAATTACTTCATCCACCTGATTCTGTACACTAAATTTAAAAAAAGCAATCTATTCTTAGAGACACAGCAGCAGAAAGTACTACATTTTAGCTCTTTCACCTAAGTACCCATGGATCATATAAAGAATAGGCAATGACGCTTAAGATGCAGAAACTGGAAGTGGGGAAGGACCTGATTAAATATGTCACAGAAAAAAATTCCACATATAAGAACTGACCACAATTTTCTCTTCTTTACTATTCCCCAAGTCATGGGTACAGACTTTGTTTCCAATTCTTTGCTACTGTGGAGTGCTGTATACACTGGACCTTTGTTTCCCTTTTAAATATCCTTAAATTACATGCCACCAGTGGGATTTCTGAATGAGAATATGAACCATTTAATCCAAGTTCTCTCCCTCCAGCCCCTATTACACCTATTGTGAAGGTAAGCAATATGATACCCATCATACATGTGAAGTCATATAAAACATATTCCACATTAGCCATGTTGCAAAACAACAACAACAAAAAAACCCAAGAAAAATAAAGAAAGTGAAAACAATATGCTTTAATATGTTCCCAGAGTTCATCAGTTCTCTCTCTGGAGAGGGACAGCATTTTTCATCATAAGCCCTTTGGAATTGTTGTGGATTATTGTATTAATCAGAGTAGATAAGTCTTTCAAGTTGGTAATCACTGAATATTACTGTTACTGTGTACAGTGTTCTCCCAGTTCTACTCACTTCACTTTGTATCAGTTCATGTATGTTTTCCCAGGTCTTTTAGTCATTTTTTGATGATATAATTCCAAAATGCTTTCCAGAATGGTTAAACTAATTCAAAATTCTACCAATAACATCCAAGTGTGCCTTTCTTCCTATAGCCTCTCTAAAATTGATTAGCCCCATTTTTTTTTTGTTATCTTGTCCAATTTTCAGAGTTCGAGGTAAAACTTCAGGAAGACCTGAGTTCAAATTCTGCCTTAGACACTTACTAGCTGTGTGATCCTGGGCAAGTCACTAAACCTCTCTGTCTCAATTTCCTCAAAAATGTGGATGGTTGTACAGATAAAATGAAATATTACTGGTAATGCCTGTTCAAACCTTAAAGCATTATATAAATATTAGCTATTATTATCTATTGAAAACTCTTCATATATATGATTTAGTCACTTATAAAGTGGTCATACATTTTATGTTTCTTCTTTATTGATAATGAAGTGCTATTCCTCCTTCATTCTACCTATTAAAAAATTTCCCTTGACATCCAATGTTTTATTCCCCCAAATGATTTTTTAAGATGTCTGTTTCTATAAAGCATTCAGCTTTATTAACCTGACTGGTACTGAAATCTGTAGTTAATCTGAATGGAGAAGGAAATGGCAAACCACTCCAGTACCTTTGCCTAGAAAACCCCATGGACAGAAATCTGTAAATTAATGTAAACCAGTATTGTTATTTTTATTATACTAGCAGCAGCTAATCATTAGAACTGAATATCTCTAAATGTATTTGTTTTCTTTGGTTTCTGTAAAGAGTGTTTCGCAGTTGTATCTATGGGATCATAGACCTAGGACTAGAAAAAAGCTTCCAGGGATCATCTGGATCATCCCCTTAATTTTAGAAATGCAAAAACTGAGAACCAATGAGATTAAGTAATTTGCCCAAGGTCACACACAGAAGAACTGGGATTCGTACTCAGGTGCTCTGGCTCCAAAGCCAGTGCTTTTTTCATTTTGCATGTCTATTATTAATTTAGCACCCATATATTTTGAGTATTTTAGCCATTTCAAATGGAATTTCTATGAACATTTCTTTTAATCATCTTAATTGGTTTCATCTCTGAATCTGAGGTTTTCCAAGTACAGTGCTGTGTCATCTGTAAATAGGTTTAATTTTTGCCTACATTTTGCCAATATTTGCCTTTCATTTTGCTCTAGTCTTCTGATGTGGCTGGCATTTCTATAACTATGCCAAGTTACATTTGTATAACTATGCTAAACTAACTGTGGCGAGGAGAATGAATTCTTGATCCCCTCTTTGTACTAAGAAAGTTTCTAGTGTTTGTTACAAATAATGTCAGTCCTCGATTTTAGATTGTATGCTTTTTTTATCATAAAGCATTTCATTCCTGTGCCTTTAAGAATCTCTAACACAAATGAGTGCTATATTTTGTCAAAAGCCCTTTCTATACCTACTGAAGTAACCATGTGGTTATTATTTATATGATTATGTTAATTATTTTCCAAATTAGAACCAACCATGCTTACATCCCTGGCAAGACTCAAAATTTAGTTGCACTAAATTATTTTCTGATTATATTGCTGTGCTCTCAAAATCTTATTCTAAAATTTTGCATCAAGAGTCATTAGTGACAACTGGACCATTGATTGATGAAATTCCCTCTACCTAATGCAGAAAATTTTTATGACTAGAGATAGACAACTAGCCTTAGAGTTGACTGAAGTCAATGAGAAGTTCTCTTTTTCTGCTTTGTCTTCCTCTGATTTGGGTATCAGAATTGTGTTTGTCATATTAAAGGAGTAAAGAAAAATAAATTTTGTGAAGTAGGTATTGTTTTTTAAACAGCTGATGGGATTCGCTTGTAAATCTATTTGGTCCAAGCTCCCCACTTCCCCATCCCTTGGCAGTTCACTTATGGCTTACCTTAGTTCTTTTTCTAAGATTAGGTTAAGATCTCTATTTCTCAAGGCTACTAACCAAGATGATTGCCTGACTGCCCAACTGCCACACACCTACTCCAGCAAAACTCTGAATTTCACACCAGACCAAATAATGATCAAGAAATCCAATTGAGGAACTACTTCTTCTGCCCCAGAACTGCACAAGAGGACAGCCAGAAGCCAAAGGGAAGTAGAAAAGAGGGTCACATGTAATGCGACAAGTATAGCCTGCAAGCCTTCTGGCTCAGAGGCCATTCTTCTCTCCACTGTTCTGTATTGCTTTCAAAGTTGTGTCTCTCAAAGGCTTTACTAGAAAAGTACAATCTCCAAGCCAAGGAAGAGTAGCAGCACACAGAATCTGAAATGTGTCCTCCTTCCTAAGCTACTTTCAAAAGCCAGCCATGTAACCACTAGACTCAGTTCTTGGGTATAGCAAAGAAATATGCTCACTTTAAAAGCTAGAAATTGCAAAGTCATATAATAATTTACACAAAAATTCTGAGTTTTATGCTCTGTATGACTTAAAAGGGGCTCTATGGAATAACAAAGAAAAATCCAGTAGTTGTACTTCATAGTTTATGTAACTTTATGATGGTCATTACCCTCTCCCAAGCAAACTTATTTGTGGCCAATGAACTATTTTTCTTTTTCTTTTTCTTCTGGGTATATCTGGCAAGTTTCAAACTGGGGAAAAGAATATTCTTGCCTACCACAAGATCCAATAAAACTGACCTAAGAAGTGACTCTCACATTTCCACTGCAAATACTGAAGTATTTCTGGATAGTCAACTCAATCACTCATGCCAACAAGTGCTATAGAGAATCCACAGTGGGAAAAAGACCTAAGAAGGATCCTGAAGATTATCTGGCATGCCTACTTTGCTTGCTCATCCATGCTAGGTGGAAAAATGAATGAATGATGGAAACCTGGCATGCTACTTCTGAAAAGAGACCCTTCCCCAATCTAAACCCACAGCTATAACCAGTATTTCTAGAATTGACACAAGCACCACAAAATTGGGGGAGTGGAGACCTTGGGCCGTCACTGTTCAGGAGGTTGACACTGAGGGGAAGAAGCAGGGCAGGGAAAGATGGGGAGATTAAGATGGGATTGAAGAGCACAGTGGACAAGGATGGGGAACTCGACTCAGCTTTATATTTTAGTTTTCCTTAACTTCTCGTTGACCTCAGTTAGCTCTAAGGCTAGTTGTCTATCTCTAGTCATAGAAATTTTCTACATTAAGTAGAGGGAATTTCATCAATTAATCAATCAATAAATCTGATCTGTTGCCAAGACTTATTGATTTCACCTTTGTAACATCTCTCAACTATGCCCTCCTCTCATTTATCCACTAAAGTGATTTTCCAAAGGGACAGATTCCATCATGTCATTTGCCCCTCCTCAATAAATTCCAGTGGATCAAATACAAAATCCTTTGGCCACTACCCTGCACTAATGAAATCATGGGTCCATAAAGCAAACAGTGCTAACTTTAGTTGTTTCTACCTGCTGAAGGAATATATTTGCTTAATGTCCTTTAAATGTCAAACTAGTACAAGATCCATCACTTCACTCTAGTTAACAGCTCCAACAAGGCCCACAGTCAGCCAACAAGCATTTATTAAGTAGTTACTATATTCCAACTTGGGACTGTGCTAAATGCTGGGGATAAAAAAAAAAGGTAAAAACAGTCTCTGCCCTATTTGTAATTCATGAGACCTTTGTCAGTATCAGGGTGGATGGAGGGAAAAAATTATATGTATGTATACAAATATACATATATGGATAGAGGGCACAGGGTGAGTTGAGATGAAGGGGTAACAGCTGGAGAATAATATTAAGGGGTGAGAGGATTATTCTGGGGGAAGGAGAAAGGGAGAGGTAGAATGGGGTAAATTATCTCACATAAAACAGACAAGAACAGGCTCTTGCAGTAGAGGGGAAACCGGAGAAGGTGAGAAGGAATGAGTGAATCTTATTCTCGTCGGATTTGGCTTAAGGAGGGAATAACATACACACTCAACTGGATAAGGAAATCTGTGTTACCCTACAGGAAAATAGGTGGGGGAAGGGGACAAGAGAACAAGGGATGATAGAGGGGAGAGCAGAATGGGGGAGGGGGTAATCAGAAGCAAACACTCCTGAGGAGGGACAGGGTCAAAAGAGAGAACAGAATATATGGGGGGGGGTGATAGATTTAAGGGAAATGTAGTTAGTTTTTCACAACATGACTACTATGGAAGTGTTTTGCATAACTACACATGTATAACCTGTATTGAGTTGCTTGCCTTTTCAATGAGGGTGGTTGGGGAGGAAGGAAGGGAGAAAATCTGAAACCCAAAGTTTTAAAAACACATATTAAAA